TACACAAACTTCAGCACGCAAATGCCCTTCCTTTGTGGCTGTTATCCTCATGCAGACAGTTGAAAGCTGATTCCCCCGAGCGATGTTCTGTGAAACTAGGAGACCTCTAGCTATAAAAGTCCCTCCTTGTTACTGAATTAGAACAGTTCTCAAGGAAATTGAGAGTTCCATTAGTCCAGCCTCTTCATCTTCCAGTAGTAGCTCCTTACTTACAGGGGGAGGCACATTTTTGCTTGACTCTTCTTTAGGTAGCAGCACTTCATATTATCTTTCAAGGAACTACTTTCTTCCCACTTTTATCCCATGAAATTAGATGGGATCATTTCTATCTCTTCGGTCTTGAAATAGTTCTAAAACCAATCATCCCCCCGCCCCAGCCACTACTGTGTGAATGTACAACTGGTCCAGGATGCATCAACCTTAGTGGCCTAATCTGGTGGTGTTTGAATTCTGATGAACACATACATGTCTACTGTTTTCCACTGAAAACCTATGAGGTGTCTTAAGGTCACAGTAAGCTATTCCCATAGTCACAGTCTTTTGATATTCAGTCACTTTTTCACAGGGAACAGATACTGACAGATAATTTCAATGATGCACTAAGAGCATGAAGTGGAAGTTTCTGGTTATATCATGTGATGTAGACTCACATGGTGTTTTCTGAGGCGAGATCCATGGGAGGACATGTGATGTTTAGAGAGAGTATAAACAGGACTCAACAGACAGCGACAGCATGCTTGCATAGCTATCCCTGCAACACTTTGTTCATCTCATACCTTCGCTGATCTTCACTTTGTTGAGAGAGGCACGCTGGCATTACGCTAGTTCTGGTCTCTCCCACTGACTTGGCAGAGGCCTGGCTGTTTCTGCTGGATTGTGCCACTGCTGCTGATTTGTGTTTGGTATCCTGACACTACTTAACTGGACTGCTGGTGTCCTGACAGAGATAGGGATTACCTCAAAGAACTACTTGTAATCAGGCCCACATCCCCTTGTCCTATTTACCATCTTGTCTCCTCTACCTTTGGATTGTGGGCTAGAAGGGGACTGAAGCATTTGAGAACCCTTATTAAAAGTAGGTTTTAAAAACCTAAGCCTCCAAGGGCCACCATTCATTCATTTGCTCATCCAGTGGGAGGCACGGGGATAATGACCATTGCTGGACACCTGGTTTGATGCTATGGACGAGGTTATGGTCCAGGCAGTCACAATCCCCCCCATAACACAACATATATACGGGCACACTCACCTGTACTCAATTCACAGTGGACAGGTGTATGTGAGTATCCAGAAAGGCTTTCCCAGTGCACCTTCCTAGAGTACTACTTAGCAACCTTCTTTAATGTTCTTCCTCATCCTCATGGTTAATTGCTGAAGTTTAGGCCGCCTTTGGTTCATATCTGAATCACAACAGTAGTTTCTGTTGAATAAAAAGAAAGGGTAGGGGTTGGTTGGTCTGGAAAGGCCACTGACTCATAATTCTCTTCAGAAGATGCTGGTCATAGAGAGAATTGGCCCCCAGGCCATGATCAGGTCTCCAGGTGGCAGGACGAGCATTAAACAGAAACAATACAATATATAGGATGTTTGAGTGATGGAGGCCATACAGTGAAGGAGAGGTGAGGTGACAGGAATGCTGCCATGAGTGTGGAGGAGGCAGCCAGAGGAGCCTCTTCAGACAGCAACAAAATAAATGTCAGACTTTTTATGAGTTTGGGGAGGGGGACAGGAAGCCTCACATCAAACACGACTGAATTCAATACAGCATAGTGAAAAAGATCATGGAAGAACCACAAATTGAAAGCTTCTTAACCTCTTCCAGAGAGAGCTGCAGGGAGGTGTGGCCTGGTTCTTCAGTCTGTGGGATGTGCCTAAACGGACAGGCCATCTTCTCATAGCTTTCCCCACTAAGTCTGCACACTCCTGTTCACTCCAGCTTCACTTAGCTCATCCTTACTGATAGCACACCGCCTTTTCTAGGACCACATAAAAGGGCATCTGAAGCAGAAAGCTTTTATTCCCTTAACCAACACCCCTGTTCACTAGAGCTAACACTTGTGAGCAGGCCAGCTTTCCAGGAGTGTATGTCCATATATTTACTCCCGCTTATGACAAAAATTTCACTTTCAAATACGACTCTTACGATGTCGCTTTCTTGCCTCCAGGTTCTGGATGGACATCTCAGCTTCTCCTTCCCTCATGTTAGCTGTTCCTCAGTATTCTAGTGAGCTTGTTCCCCAGTCTTCAGTGATCCCTTCCCTCCCAACTGTCTGTTGCATACAAAGGGAGGTCACTGCACTCCTTTTGATAGAAACATGGTGTTTGTACCTTTTAGTTCTTATGTTAATAAAACCCCAAATCGAGCCTGGCCTAGTGGTTCTATCTATTAGAGTGCATGCCTCTAATCCCAGGATTTAGGAAGTGAAGGCAGGAAATCACAAAGCCAAGGCCAGCATCCAGTTACACACGGTCAGTTCAAGGGCAGCCTGGGCTACAAGATGCCCCTGACTCAAACAAAAAGCCGTGGGGAGTAATTGAAATGTCTACTTTCAAACAAACATTTTTGAAATTCATTTTTCATTTTATTTCTTTTTCAGTTAAAAATACCCTAGAGATACTGTAAAATGTTGTAGGGTGTGGGAAGAGAAAACTACAGGACAGATGAGTCTAAATAGAGTGTTTGTAACTCTCCAAGGACGTCCGTCTTGCTTGTTGAGTGCTGTAGTAAGTGCCTGTCACCAGAAAACACTTACAGAAGCTTCTACATCCTGCTTACGATTTCCCAGGACCCGCATGGCAGAAGGAGAGATTTCTGCAGGATGTCCTCTGATCTCCACCATGCCATGGTATTTAAGCATCCTTTCCCCTGCACACACACAAAGTAAACGAATAAAAATGTAATAAACATTTTTAAAAATTAAAACAAACCAATGAAAATGCATCCAAATGGCAAGTCCAGATGTATTTTTTTGTGCTGAGGATAAGAGGGGCCCGGCTCCCAGCAGGTTCTCTCTAACATCTTATATGGATACAACAATTGTAGGCTTGGAGCCCTTGGCTGCATAGCAGGGACCTACTAAAACTTTCCTCAAAGTTGCCTCCTCACCTTAAATCAGCTCTCCCCACTTTAGAACTCCACCTAGTAACAGTTGAGTTAAGAGAGGGTCTAGCCCAGGAAGCCATGATCTAGCTCTGGGCCAAATCTTCCCAAGTGACTACAGATTGGGATGCCTGGTTATTGCTTCTGGGACAAATGTATAGAATTGACACAGCCTTTACTTGGGCACAAGGATATCTGACTCATCATTTTATAGTCCCAAGTCTTCCTGGAGGCAGAAATTATTTAAGCACTTAAAAACAGTGATCCTCAAACAGTCATCTAAAAGCAGAATGAGACACAAGTGTCATTCATTGGTTTCCACATCCTCAGCCCTGTAGTACGAGGAACTCTGTGAGCCAGCAATAGTGTGGGGGTAGGGAAACCTCACTCCTATAGTACATCCGGTTTTCATCAGAGACTCAGGGTACAAGTTACATAACTTGAGGATTATATAAAAGTCGTTCAGCTGCACTCACATTAGTACGCATCAAATTACTTACGAATATCAGAGTACATTTAAAGTTAGCATTAATTGAACTGAGGATATATATCCCCGTGGCAATGTGCGCCACATGCCCATGTGTGACCTGTCTGGTTTATATTTAGAAATCCTTATATGTCATCCTTACACTAAATATTCATGTTCAGAAATCAGCTATTTGCGGACTAGGAAGATGGATAGATGCATAGCTCACTGCTTAAGAGCACTTGTTGCTCTCGAAGAGGACCTGGGTTCTGTTCTCAGCACTCATAAGGCAGCTTACAATCATGGAGATCTGACGGCCTCTTCTGACTTGCATGGTACCAGCATACATGCAGTACACATACAGGGAAAACGTCCATATACATAAAATACAATAAATAAATCTAAAATTTAAAAAAAACTGTAAATATATGATATGGAGAACTGATGCAAACTTAGATTGTCTTATTGGGCAAAGTCACGTGTATGATATAGGTTTCAGTGAAATAAACACCTTCAAAACTCCCTCTCTCTCTCTCTCTCTCTCTCTCTCTCTCTCTCTCTCTCTCTCTCTCTCTCTCTCTCTCTCGGAGAGTCAAGGAAAGAATGCATTTGCCTTCTGTCCTGTGCTGGGCCCACTAGCACCTTTTGGAATGTTCTTAGGGCCAGTCACACTGACCCAGCCTGGTGCCTGTCTCTACAGCTGACCTGTTTTGTCCCAACT